TCACTGCAGGGTGCCCAGGACCAAACCAGAGAGGACCGGACCTGCATTTGTCCACCATCCAGAACCAGCATTTCATTGCTGGCATGTACACATGAACTTTTGGACATTGAAACATGGACTCAGAACTTTTGGACATTGAAATTGGGACTTGATTATTTTTTAAAGAAAAAATAAGGGGGAGATGTGGGAAACTGTTTATTGCCTTCACTATCTGATAAGCATAGACAGAGAACTCCCCGAAACTCCCCGAAGGCTGGGTGCCTTTGAAGCCCTAGCAAAGGTCAGAGCTAGGCGCCACCTCTGTTTGTCCAGACAGTGGTAGCTGAAACTACTCCCCCATTTATTATTATGTAAATCCTTGCTGATGGGCTAGTCTGCTTGTTACTAGGGGGTCACCTGCCTAAGGGCTATGCTATGGGGGCATCCCAGATCAATAAAAGCTTGGTGAGGCCTGAGCACGAAGGAAGTCCTTTGGGACTTGCCGCCTGGTCCCCCAATATTGCAAAATTATCTCGTGTCTTTTTCTCTCATTTGTTGTGCGGCTCCTCTTTCAGATACTGAACCCTACTCCATGCGGGTCGTGGAAGGAGTCTCACTCAACAGTTATACAATCACATCCACAGATCTAAAAAAAAATGCATTTGACAACATCAGCAATAATTTATGATAACAATTCTCAACAAAGTGGGAATATAGGGAACATACCTCAACATAATGAGGGCTATATATGATAAAGCTGCAGTAACATCACACTCAACAGGGAAAAGCTAAAAGTGATTTCCTTAAGATCAGGGACAAGGAATTGAGAAGAAAAAAAGAAAGAAAGAAAGAAAGAAAGAAAGAAAGAAAGAAAGAAAGAAAGAAAGAAAGAAAGAAAGAAAGAAAGAAAGAACGCATGGACACGGACAACCGTGTGATGATTGCAGGGTGGAGAGAGGTGGGTAGAGGTAGGAGAAGGTACAGTGGGGATAAATGGTGATGAAAAAATAAAAGAAAGAAAAATAGATCAAGAAAAAGACAAGTTGTCTACTTTCACACTTTTATTCAACTTAGTACTCAAAGTCCTAGTCAAAGCAATCAAAAAAAAAGAAAAAAAAAAGGCATCCAAATTGGAAAGGAAGAAGTATAACTGTCACAATATTTGTAGATGACATGATACTATATAGGGAGAATCCTAAAGATTCCACCAAAAAAACAATTAGAATTAATACATGCATTCAGTAAAGTAGCAGGATAAAAAATTAATATTCAGAAATTGATTGCATTTTTATATATAAATAACAAACTAGCAGAAAGAGAAATTAAGAAAATAATTCCATTTACAATTGCATAAAAAAATAATAAACTACCTGGCAATGAATTTAACCAAGGAGGTAAAAGACCTGTACTCAGAAAAATAATTATAAGAAGAAGATACAAATAAATGGAAGCATATACCATGTTCATGGATAGAAAAAAATATTAAAATGTTTATACTATCCAAAGCAATCTATAGAGTCAATGCAATCTCTATCAAAATACCTATGGCATGGCCCCTCACTGTCACCTAGCGTGGGCGATGCCAATCCCTCTCCAGGCGCAGCCCCACCAGCAGTCCCAAGCACATTTTTCTGGCCCCTTCCCCCTGGTAAGTGGCTGGAGCTGAAGGTGGGCAGGGCCAGAGACAATGGAGAAGCCCAGCCCGAGACTCGGGACTGGACGGGGAGTTGCATGGAGGCAGTGAATAATAGCTCTTCCAGTCTGCAATAAAAAATGAGCTCGAATAAAACTACATTGCAAAAAATGGGAAAGAAACAGAATGGAAAGAGTAAAAAATTTGAAGAGGCAGAGCCGAAAGAATTTTTAGTGGAAAATGTATTGGCCTGATGTGTAGTGAATGGGAAGGAGGACCATTTCCTGAAGTGGAAAGGATTCACAGATGCTGACAATACTTGGGAAACTGAAGAAACCTTACATTGTCCAGAGTTCATTGAAGCATTCCTCAAAAAGCTGGTAAAGAAAAACACGGTACAAAAAGCAAGTCTTTATCTGACAGTGAATCCGATGATAGCAAATCAAAGAAGAAAAGAGATAAACTGATAAACTAAGTGGCTTTGCCAGAGGTCTTGGTCCTGAAGGAACAATTGGTGCCACAGACAGCAGCGGAGAGTTAATGTTTCTCATGAAATGGAAAGACTCAGGTGAGGCTGATTTGGTGCTGGCAAAGACGAAGTGTCCTCAAATTGTAATTGCTTTCTATGAAGAAAGACTAACTTGGCATTCTTGTCCCAAAGACGAAGCCCAATAATTGTTTGCATTGCTTCTTATATATATTTATACATATGTATAAAATCTGGGTCTTGTTTTTTTTTAATTTTATTAGTGAAGAAAGAACTACATTATAATGAAAATCAAGTTTGATATGTTTGTTTTGAAGTAGTGCTGGGGAGTTGTTGGGGCGGTTGCATCGATAGCACTGGTTACTTTGAACAAAAGCTTTCTGTAGTTGCTTCCTTTATCAGAAAAGAACATTTAATACCATGTTGTATTTTTTCCTCTGCATTAGAGAAACTTTTCTAAATGTTGGGAGAAATCTCCATAGTCATTACTCAGTCAGGATTTGTGTGTGCCTAAGGATCATTGTGGGTTTTTTGTTTATTGCCGGGGGCGGGGGGGGGGGGGAGGGCGGGGGGGGGGGCAAGAGAGAGCAGGTGTGTACACATATGTAAATGGTTTTCTTTCTTTCTTTTTTTTTTTTTTTAACCAAAACACAACTATAGATAAGCTCATGTTTCTGAGCTGCCATCACTTTCAGCAACCTAAGAAAAAAATCATTTGAAGTTAAATTGAAAATTTTTCCTGAAGTTTTTAACCTTTGAAATTAGATAATTTGTAATTAATTGGACAGTTCAAATATAATGTAAGCAGTTTAAATTGGACAATTTAAAGTAGACACATCAGAATCCACATTTACAATCATAAATGCAATTTTATTTGCAAAACCCCTGAAAGGAAAATTTTATCACTGCCAATAACCTCCTCTCCCAAATGAGAAAACTAGGCAAACCCTGATGTGTTTTAATTAGGTAAGCAACACTAATTTAAAGGTTTCACCTCTTAAAATGTTCCTTTACAAGAAGTTGAAATCCCTGTGCTATACTGACTAAAAAATTAGGGTCAAGGAATGTGTGAGACTTCACTCATGGATACCTAATCAGATCGTTAGAGACCTTGGCAATTTGGGACCTGCTGGAATAAATGGGTGAACAAACTTTTTGTAATCCAAACTCTTGATCTGCATGTTTTCTCTTTGCTCCAACTCAGTCCTTACATGCAGGCTCAAGTCTCAGTGTTTGGGGTACTGGTTCAACAAAAGCCAGGAAAAACAACAGCTTTGTAGTAAACAGAATGTTACCCAATGTATACTGTTTACTTTATTGTAAATACTGGTAAACAGTGGTTAATAGTTTTATATTCCTTAAAAAAATACCAATGGCATTTTTCATGGAACTAGAAGAAATAATTCTAAAATTTATATGAAACCACAAAAAATCCTGAAGAGCCAAAGCAATCTTGAGAAAGAACAACAAAAGTTGTAGATATCATGCTACCTCATAACAAACTATACTACAAGGCTATAGTAATCAAAGAAGCATGATACTGGCATAAAAACAGTCTGAGATTGATGGAACAGACTAGAGAGTCTGGAAATAAACGCATGCCTATGTGGTCAATTAATCTATGACAACAGATCAAAATATACAACAAACCAAAGACAGTTTATTCAATAGCGTTGAGAAAATTAAACACATACATGCAAAAAATAAAAGGAAATTAGGCCATGTTCTTACAACATATAAAATACTAAACTCAAAATGCATTAAAGACTTAAATGTAAATCCCCAAACCATAAGACTCCTAGAAAAAATGTAGACAGTAAGCTGTAAAACATTGCTCTTAGTAATATATTTTCTGATATATCCCCACAGACAAGGGAAACAAACAAAAAAGAATAAGCAAATGGGACTATGTCAAACTAAAAGTGTTTTTACCCAGCAAAAACAAACAAACATCAACAAAATGAAAAGACAGCTTACTAATCCTGAGAAGATATTTGCCAATGATAAGGGGTTAATATAAAAAAATTATAAATAACTCATACAACTTAATAAAAAAAAGCAAACAATACAAATAAATGGGCAGAGGACCTGAATACAATTTCGCTAAAGAGGACATACAGATGGCTAATAGACATACAAAAAGATGCTCAAAATCACTAACCATCAGAGAAATGCAAATTAAAACCACCATGAGATACCACCGGTCAGAATGGCTATAATCAATAATCAACAAACAACAAGTGTTGGTGAGGATGTGGAGAGAAGGGACTGTTGGTGGAAATGCAAATTGGTGCAGCCACTGTGGAAAACAGTATGGAGATTCCTCAAAAATTAAAAATAGAACTACCTTGCCCTAGCTGGTTTGGCTCAGTGTATAGAGCGTTGGCCTTTGGACTGAAGGATCCTGGGTTTGATTCTGGTCAAAGGCATATGCCTGGGTTGCAGACTCAATCCCCAGTCAGGGGCATGCAGGAAGCAGCCGATTACTGATTCTCTCTCATCATTGATGTTTCTATCTTTCTCTCCCTCTCCCTTCCTCTCTAAAATCTATAAAAATATATTTTAAAAATAATAAAGTACATTATGACCCAGCAATTCTACTTCTAGGAATTTATTCAAAGAAATCCAAAACACTAATTCCAAAAGATATATGCACCCCTATGTGCATTGTAGCATTATTTACAGTAACCAAGATATGGAAGCAACCTAAGTGTCCATCAATAGATGATTGGAAGAAAAAGAGGTGGTACATATACAATGGAATATTACTTGGCTATAAAAAATCTTACCATTTGAGACAATAGGGATGGACCTTGAGGGTATTATGTTAAGTGAAATAAGTCAGACAGAGAAAGAGAAATACCAATTTATTTTATTTGTATTTTTAATTGAAAGCACAAAATAAACAAACAAAACAGAAACAGGCTCATACATACAGAGAACAGACTGAGAAGGGGAGTGGAGGGCTGGGTGAAAAAGGTGAAAGATTAGTAAGTACAAATTGATAATTACAAAATAATCCTGGAGATGTAGAGTACAGAATAGGAAATAGAGTCAATAATATTGTAATAACTATGTATGGCTCCAGGTGGGTATAGGATTACCAGTGGTATCATTTGGTAAAGCATATAAATATTTAACCACCATGGTGTACACCTGAAACTAATATAAAATAATATTGATTGTCAACTGTAATTGAAAAATAAAAGTATTAAAATTTTAAAAATGTGACTAAATAACCAAAAATGGAGAAAGCTTTCTTTTAAGAGCAGTTCCCCTACAATTACACATTACAGGAGATCTTAGTAATTAGAGATGTGGCAGACATATTTTCTGGGCTATTTAATTGAAAAGGGGAAAAAAGATAGAATTCCTGCTTTTTATGGAAGTGTTTGGTCACAATTATCATCATATTGATGAACAAAATAAAAAAAAAATAGCTCTGATTATAGTGAAGCTATTTTTTTATTTTTTTATTTAGCTATTCAGAATTATATTGTGCCTTCGACATGTTTCTGATAATGCACTGCTAAATGTGGAGGAACAAATCGCAGGAACACCCCATGGCACTTTTTAAGGTAAGAATTACTTTGTTATAGCCAGAAGTTAAGATCTCCTGAAACACCAAGGAATTCTGATTAATCCCAAGTAAATGCCAGGTCAATTATAGAATAAAAATTCAAGTTATGCTATACTAGCTCCATTAGAACATAATACTGGATTACCAATTGAGTTAACATATAGAAATCACAGTCTCCTTCCTGTCTCTCAGCTAAGATTAAAGTTGGCTGAGCTCTTTTGATATTTCCAGCATTTATTTTGAGCTCAAATACCTCTCATTTGTGTTTTGTTTTCTCCCCTCCTTACTATCCTATATAATAAAAGACCAGCAACCATAACAGTGTAATGACTGGAATGACCGATCGACCAGTTGCTATGAGGTGCATTGACCACTTCTCAGTCCCTTTCCCCAATCCACAGGCTCCAATTGCTGGATGGTCAACAAGGAACCACGGGGAACCGGGGAGGGTGGCAGAGGGGCGGGACTGGGGACTGGCAAGTGAGTGAAAGATGGCTAGGGTATTTGCAGGCTAGGCCTAGGGACCCTAACCATGCATAATTTCATGCACTGGGTCTCTAGTCTTATATATTTCACTCTGCTCCTCCATGTCAACACCCACATCATTATATCGACAACTTCTTCTCACAAATACCATATGAGGGCACACTACAAAGCTGGTCATAAATTATTGGCACATGAATCCACACACAATTGTGGGATGAGTTTTCCTGTGTAACTGTGCTTCTGATTTCAAACCTATTAAAATAAAATGCAATGAGATAATTAGAACAAACATAATACAGACTACTAGTCACACAATGCTGAAATAAATTGGTGAGGATACTAGTAAAAGAGTTCTGAAGTGTCTACACTTATTGGAAAAGGAGACTTGAATTTAGATTGTATTAGTTCTCAAATGACAACATATCCTTCATTATCTATCTATATATAAAAGCCTAAGTGACTGTTACAACCGAACAACCAGAACGATCAGAACGACCGGTCAACCAGTCGCTATGACGTGCACTGACCACCAGGGGGCAGACTCTCAACACAGGAACTGCCCCCTGGTGGTCAGTGTGCTCCCACAGCCAACCTCCTATGGCACCTCCCTCCTCCGGGCCAGCCAACCTCCCACAGCCCCTCCCACAGCACCCCAGTAGGCCTCGATACCCGGCCAGGTCAAGGGACCCCACCCATGCATGAATTCGTGCACTAGGCCTCTAGTTAAAGTATAAAAGTGACTAAAAAATGTTTTTTATTGAATTTATTGGGGTCACATTGGTTAGTGAAACTATATAGGTTGCAAGTGTACAACTCCATAAAACATCATCTGCATACTGCATTGTGCACTCACCACCCAAAGTCAAGTTTCTTTCCACCACCATTTATCCCCCTTTTGCCTTCTTCCACCTCTCCCCACTCCATTTACCCCCTGGCAAGCAACATATTGTTGTCTGTATTCTTTTTTTGTTTGTTTGTTTGTTTTGTTTTGCTTAATCCTTTAACCTTTTTCACCCAGCTCCCCAACCCCTCTCACCTCTGACAGCTGTCAGTTTGTTCTCATTTTCTATGAGTCTGTTTCTATTTTGTTTGTTAGTTTATTTTGTTTATTAGATTCCACATATGAATGCACTCATATGGTATTTGTCTTTTTCTGACAAGTTTATTTCATTTAGCACAGTACTCTCCAGGTCCATTCATGCTGTCACAAAAAGTAAGATTTCCTTCTTTTGTATGGCAGACTAGTATTCTATTGTGTAAATATACCACAGCTTTTTGTTGTTGTTGTTCATCCTCACCCGAAGATATTTTCCATTGATTTTTAGAGAGAATGGAAGGGAGATGGGGAGACAGAGAGTGAGAAGCATTGATGTGAGAGAGATATGTCAATTAGTTGCCTCCCGCACATGCCTGGACCAGGGCTAGGGGACTGACCCTGCAACCATTTAGACTGAAGGCTGACATTCTATCCACTGAGCCAAACCAGTTAGGGGCCTACCACAGCCTTTTTATCCCCTCACCTATTGATGGGTACTGGGTCTGCTTATGTGTTGTTCTTATTTTTATTTGTTTTATTTCATTTTTCTAAAGGTCTGCTTATGATTTTAAGAAATAGTACTACTTGCATAAAATTAAATAAAGCTTCAGACAAAACAGTTAATATTCTACAAGCAGTTCTTTGCTTATCTATCAAACTCTTTCCTAGAAATATATTTATCAAATAAAGCAACAGTTTAGTGAAATTATTATTGGGTATATTAGTGAGTAGATCAAGTAGAAGAGTTATTACTGAAAGGGATCTAGAACTGAATGAGGAATCAGAGATAGCAAAGGCCATTTAAAGAAGAGGAGGGGGGAAAAACCCTATGTATTTCAATGCCTCCTAAAAGCAGAATTATATTAGAATACAATGTAAAAATAAAAAAAGAATACAATGTCAGACAATTACATTAACTACCATGGGTGAGTGGAAGCATGTCTCTTGTTTTTTGTTTTGTTGTGCTTACTTTTTTAAATATATTTTATTGATTGTTTACAGAGAGGAAAGGAGAGGGATAGAGAGTTAGAAACACCGATGAGAGAGAAACATCGATCAGCTGCCTCCTGCACCCTCCCCACTGGGTATGTGCCTGCAACTAAGGTACGTGCCCTTGACCGGAATCGAACCTGGGACCTTTCAGTCTGCAGGCCGACACTCTATCCACTGAGCCAAACCGGCCAGGGCTGTCTCTTGTTTTATTTGCTCCTCAGTCTCCTGAAGTAGCAATACTAATTACTCAAGCTACAAGGACATCACTGAGCCTCAGGGTAAAAACTATAATACTCTTCATCTTGCTTATCTATCTTCCCTTGGCCCTGTGCTTGGAGGATTGAGAGAATTCTTCTGTAAAAAGGACTAGGCTAAGAGCATGAAACAATTTTGATCAAGGCCTCTGGGAGAATTCTGACCAGTGTTCTCCAAAAATCTTACTTGACATCCAAGAGATTTTTTAGATATGGACAGACCTAGATTAAATTACAGCCACCCAGAAAACCAAGGCATAGTAATGTATCAAAATATTAATTTTGAATCCCTCTTTTTATTTTAAATAAGAGAGCATTATTTCTAATATGAGAGGCCTGGTGCACGAATTCGTGTGCCAGTGTGGTCCCTTGGCCTGGCCTGCAGGGTCGGGCTGAAACCTCCTCTCTGACATCCCCTGAGGGGTCCCGGACTGCAAGAGGGTGCAAGCCAGGCCAAGGGACCCTACTGGTGCACATCCAGGGCTGGGGAGGGACATGGGAAAGACAAGCAGTTCTTTGCTTATCTATCAAACTCTTTCCTAGAAATATATTTATCAAATAAAGCAACAGTTTAGTGAAATTATTATTGGGTATATTAGTGAGTAGATCAAGTAGAAGAGTTATTACTGAAAGGGATCTAGAACTGAATGAGGAATCAGAGATAGCAAAGGCCATTTAAAGAAGGGGAGGGGGGAAAAACCCTATGTATTTCAAGGGGAGGTTGGCCAACTGGTGAGGGACTGCAGGAGGGCTCCAGAGCATGTCTGGCCCATCTCGCTCAGTCCTGATTGGCCAGACCCCAGCAGCAAGCTAACCTACCGGTCAGACCATCTGCCCCCTGGTGGTCAGTGCATGTCATGGTGAATGGTTGAGCAGCCTTAGCATATCATTAGCATATTATGCTTTGATTGGTTGAACAGCCGACCAGCCGACCAGACACTTAACATATTAGACTTTTATTATACAGGATATCTTGTCAGGCAAGGGGGACAAAAGAAAGAATAAACAAATGGGACTACATTAAACTAAAGAAGTCTTTACACAGCAAGAAAAAAAAAAAGAAAAAAAAAAGAAATCAAGAAAATGAAAAGGCAATTTACTAATCCGGAGAAGGTATTTGCCAATGATACATCTGGTAAGGGGTTAATATCCAAAGTTTATAAATAACTCATACAACTTAATAAAAAAGCAAACAATACCAAAAAAAAATGGACAGAGGACCTGAATACACATTTCTCCAAAGATCACATACAGATGGCTAATAGACATGAAAAGATGCTCAAAATCACTAACCATCAGAGAAATGCAAATAAAGCCACTATGAGTTACCACCTCACACCTGTCAGAATAGCTGTCATCAGTAATCAACAAACAAGTGTTGGTGAGAATGTGGAGGAAAGGGACCCCTGGTTCACTGTTGGTGGGAATGCAAATTGGTGCAGCCACCATGGAGAACAGTATGGAGATTCCTCAAAAATTAAAAATAGAACTACCTATGCCCAGCTAGTGTTCCTCAATGGTTGAGCATTGACCTATGAACCAGGAGGTCATGGTTCAATTCCCAGTCAGGGCACATGCTCGGGTTGCGGGTTCAATCCCCAATGTGGGGTATGCAGGAAGTGGCCAATCAGTGATTCTCTCTCATCATTGATGTTTCTATCTCTCTATTCCTCTCCCTTTCTCTCTGAAATCTATAAAAATATATTTTAAAAAATAGAACTACCTTATAACCCAGCAATTCTACTTCTGGGAATTTATTCAAAGAAACCTGAAACACTAATTCCAAAAGATATATGCACCCCTATGTGCATTGCAGATTTATTTACAATAGCCAAGATATTGAAGCAACCCAAGTGCCCATCAACAGATGATTAGATGAAAAGGAGGTGGTACATATATCCAGTGGAATATTACACAGTCATAAAATATTGAAATCTTGCAAGTTGTGACAACATGGATGGACTTTGAGCATGTTATGCTAAGTAAAATAAGTCAGACGGAGAAAGACAAATACCATATGATTTAATTTATATCTGTAATCTCTCAGAGGGAAGGAGGGACGGCAGAAAGAGATTAACCAAAGAACTTAGATGCATATATGCATTGCCCTTGGACACAGACAATAGGGTGGTGAAGGCCTGGGATGGGCTGGGAACTGGGTGGAAGAGGCAAATCAGATTCTTAACTGCTTGATATGCTCTTCCCTTTCTGAGCAAGGGTATGAGAATTTGTCTCTCTAGATACTTACAAGTTAGGAGAGAACTTTGAACCATCCTCCCAGAGCCATGGTCCTTCAGCCTGAGGGCGAGAGAGCCCTATCCAAAATGACTTAACAGGTTGGGAAGACACTTGCTTTACTATAAATTCCTGTAGGGAAACATAAATACAAATACATGTCATGAAGAGAGAGATAAATAGAGATGATAGAGATAGAAAGACAGAGAAGAGACAGAGAGATGCTCTTATAGACACCGTGAATCACCTTGGTGAAGGATGCATGTGTACACTGACATCAACCTCGAGAGAAGTGCCAATTCTTGAATGTCGCTGTCTCAAAAGGCATATTTCATTTCTTCAGAGTCATTTTATTTAACTTTCCACCAAAATAACTGTTTAGATTCATAGTGTAGAATGTTCCCTGATTACTAACCCTTCTTATAGGCCATCTAAGTGCTAACCTTCATTCATGAGGAATTGTAAGTTCCACCTTTTCTGTAAAAGTTTTTATGTCCACAGGGATCTCTCTCTGAATTCCTATCACATTTGTTGCCAATACCAAATATTTAACTTTTTAAAAAAATCCTCACCAAGGATAGTTTTTATTGATTTTAGAGAAGAAGAAGAAGAAGAGAGAGAAACATTGATCAGTTGCCTCCCATGTGCACCATTACCAGGGATCAAACTTGCAACCTAGCTATGTACCCTGACAAGGAATTGAGCTCGCAACCTTTCTGATGTACAGGAGGATGCTCCAACCAACTGAGACACCCAGACAGAGCCCAAGTGTTTAACTTTTAACAGCTGTTGTTTCTTTTTTCTTACAAATTACATGAGCATTGCAATATCAAGTTTACTTTTTTCACCTCTTTGCCTTTTCCAGTATCTTTTAAGGAATAAGTGATGTATAAATGTATATTATTATTGCAGCTATTTTTCTTAATAATTATGATGACAAGGGGGATAATGTTCTATCTCCAAATTTGAAAATTAAAATCCAAATCCACAAAAATTAGTAGTTGCTTGATTATTATAATCATGCAAACTTGCAGTGTATTCAAAAGGATTTGTTTTAAAATACAATGTGCTTATTTTTAAATTAATTAAAATGAAAAGCATAAATTATAAACATTACCCACTTAATGCATGCTCTTACTATAATTATGGAGAATAATAAATATCACTTTTTCCAAAGGAAGATTATCATTACCTGAAATCTATCTCTATTTTTCTGCTCCATATAGACTACAGATAACTATGATTGAAATCTACACTTACCAGTTCTTTTGAACTATCTATCTTCAGGAGATAAGAGTCCAGTTGAGAGCACTGTCTTTTACTTCCATTCCAGGAATTCAATGATGTGCCAAATAGGTAACAGCTATTCTCGTGTGCAATCCAGTTAGGGGGACAAGAGCTGGAAAGAACTCCTGGAAATAGAAAATAAATATGATGTGGTGCAAGCACCATCCATCCTGAGGACACAAGAATAATTAATAAATCACCATTAAAATATTTCCATTTCAATTCAAACTATAAGAATATGACTTTACAAAATAGGCCATATTAAAATGTCCCCATTCATTTAAAAATGAATTAATCATAAAAAGTGTTTTAGACAGTCAACCTTCCTTTCTCTCTTGTCCACAATTCCTTCAAATTCAGCATGAAACTCCCTTTCTTCATACCTCTTAAGGTAAATCAACTCAAAATAAATCATTGAGGTATATGGTAATTTCATGTTAACTTTTTTACAGGTATGACATCCATTTCAGAAGGCAATTTCCCAAATGAAAAAAGTATAAGAACAATTATTCACATTACAGAGTATTGATGTTTTGTAATATTAGCTACTTGATATAAATCATAAGGAAGGCTGGGTACACAGAAGGAAAACTGAAGTACAAGTGTTGTCATATTCAATTATGATACAATTAGAAGGTCAAGTATATGTAAAATTATAGTGAAATTGTGTGGTAAAAATTAATTTAACTAGAGTTTTCAGGAATATATCTATTAGGTCTATCTCTTCTATATGTGTGTCATTTAGCCTCTTAATTCTCACCAACATGTTTCCTTCTTTCCTTTATCTCTCCCTTTTTTCCTTTCTGATGTCTTATTTTTTATTCTTACTATATCACTATAAAATTTCAGTTCCCCAAAGGCAAATAAAATATTTTAAATTATAAAATCTCCTGTAGGCCTAAACACATAGACAGGGATAAATTAGTTACTGATTTGGAAAAAATATCCAACTTAGAACTGCTCAGCCAAGTACATGGATATTTATGATATAACTTCATTGTATATAAGACAGGGGCATTTTAGACTGGGATAATACTAATGTGTGCTTTCTTTGAATGCACAGCCACTGCATGTAAAGGTTTTCTCTTTCCCCCACCCTTCCAGGCCATAACACCAATAATTAACCTTCCTAAACCAAGAATTCCATTACTCATTTAACTTTGCCCTTGCCTGTGGTTGTGAGAGCCTTGGGAGAATCCACACTCTCTTCTAAAGATGATTGTGTGGGTTTTCTTGATGGAAAATTGTCATTCTTCAATGAGTTGCTTCCTGAATTGGATCTCCAAATACCTTCATATAGCAACAATAGTGACAAAAGGATTATTCTACTATGTTTGAAAATTTAAACTCCAAAATCCATATTTTTGTTGTAATATAAAGACTAATTCAAAAGAATATATGCATCCCATGTTCACTGCAATCTTATCTACAATAGCCAAGATATAGAAACAACCCAAGCAAGCGGGCAAAAAAGTTGTGAGATATACGTGTGTGTGTGTGTGTGTGTGTGTGTGTGTGTGTGTGTGTATTACTAAGCCATAAAAAAAGAATGAAATCTTAGAAGATATTATGCTAAGTGAAATAAGTCAGACAGAGAAAGACCAATACCATATGATTCCACTTAAGGTATATATGGAATCTAAAGAACAAAATACATGAACAAGTAAAATAGAAACATATTTTTAGATATAGAGAGCAGACTGATGATGGCCAGAGAGATACTTTTTTTTTAATCCTCACCCAAGGATATGGTTTTTTGTTGTTGTTTTACTGATTTTAGAAAGAAAGTAATGAAGAGGGAGAGGGAGAAGGAGAGGGAAAGGGAGGGAAGGAAAGAGGGAGGGTGGGAGGGAGAGAGAGAGAGAGAGAGAGAGAGAGAGAGAGAGAGAGAGAGAGAGAGAGAGAGAGACATTGATGCAAGAAGCATTGATCATTTGCCTCCCACACATGCCCAGAGAGGGAATGGAACCTGCAATCTGGGCACGTACTCTGACTGGGAACCGACCGTGACCCTTTGGTGCATGGGACGATACTCCAACCAAATGAGCCATGCCAGCCAGGGAAAGAGATACATTTTTTATTAATGATAAACAGATAACACATTGCTGATACAGAGGTAAAGATTGATAGCTGATAGATAAATAGATGATAGGTAGATTAAATAGATGGGAGGAAAATAACTTCCATGAAGGTGATATAGTAAAAAAAGGAAAAATGAAACAGAGAAGAAAGAATATTAAGGAGAAAGCAAAAAGCACATAGAATATAGTCAATTGGAACCATGATAAATTTGGAATAATAAATCTTCGTGTGTTTTTTTTCACATTTTAAAAATGAGAGCTCCTTGAGAACCTGCCCAGTACCTATAATGTAGACTGTACTCAATAAACATTTGATAATTAAATAATCTAATAAAGACTCTCTGAAGGCAAAATAGTACTTTATTGACAGTAGAATGCATGAGATATAAAATCTAAGGAGATTTATTCATCCATTACAAAATATCTACTTAGTACTTAGTAAGTGCCTCAGGTGATTTCTGCTATTACCCAATGGCATTTCTGTTAAAGATGAGATATAAAACAGTTTTCTTCAATCATGAGATATCAGAATAGCTTGTAGTCTTATTAGGGAATTTATTTTATTAGATAGCACGACTTTGTACTTTCTTCTTCACTTCCACTGGTTTCCTTCCATTAGTTTGTTCCAGAAATTCCACAGCTTTGAAACCAGGAAGAGAGTAGAGCGATGTAGTTCAGCGTATGAGTTTTGTAGACAGATTGCCTAAATTTCTAATCATGGTCCTACCACTGACTAGTTTATGGTCCTTAAAAAGTAAAATAGCCTGCCAGACTCTTACTTCCCTTATAAATAAAATGAGAATTACTAGCACCAATTGAATAGGGTTAATATACAGACTAAATTACATAATGCATGTCAAGCTTTTAAAAGAATGTCTGGCACATTATAAATGCTTGCTCAATATCTGTTGCTGTTAATCTACAGTAGTACTCACCCATAGTACCCAGGACTATAGCTATCACCAGTATTACCAAGCATAGGATTCCCAAAGTCACAGCAATGGAACGCCAAGGAAGAGATGCAGCACAAGGTCCTGATGGAGACAGAGGGAACAGGGATTGGATAAAGAAACAGGATGCTTGGCCTGTGTGACTCAGTGGCTGAGCGTCAACCTATGAACGGTTTGATTCCCAGTCAAGGCAAATGCCTCCGGGTTGTGGGCTCGATCCCCAGTAGGGGGCATGCAGGAAGCAGGCAATAGATGATTCTCTTTCATCATTGATGTTTTCTCTCTCTCTTCCTCTCCTTTCCTCTCCCTGAAATCAATAGAAGCATATTTTATTGTATATATAATTGATTTCAGAGAGGAAAGGAGAGGGAGAGATGGAACCTGCAATCTGGGCACGTACTCTGACTGGGAACCGACCATGACCCTTTGGTGCACGGGACAATGCTTCCTTCATACCCCCCACTGGGAATCGAGCCCACAACTCAGGCATGTGCCCTTGACTGGAAGTGAACCCGGGATCATTCAGTCTGCAGGCTGACACTCTAACCAGTGAGCCAAACCAGCTAGGGCAGAAACGTATTTTTTTTTAAAAAAGAAATAGGATGATGGATCATGGTACACTTAAATTCTACAATTCATCCAAATCTGGCAAATTCTAAACTGAATCATTAATCACTAATACCCTGATTATCTAGTTATCTAGGGTTAGTCTGAGTTTTTCCCCACCTTTAACATATCTCTTTGGGTTCTGGAATTGTAATTTCAGCACAGTGCCTTTATAATTATGCACTCCTAATTTCAGTTCTACATTGATGTCTGTAAGTCTTGATATTACCAGGATTCCTGAAATCCCACTCATTCTTAGAAGAGATAGCTTCATGTGGAGGAAATAGTACTGATTACTACGGGTGATCTTCCCTTTTTATGTAGGTATTTCATGACTTTGGGCAAATTATTTCTTTTTTTAAAAAAAAAATTATCTTTGTGAAAAAATGAGGTAATAATATTTCAAAGAATTATTGTGAGAATTAAGCAAGCTAACACATGGAAAAGCACGTAGTTTGCTAGTAGAGACTACTAGCAGATTATAGGTAACTCACTGTGTGTCTATTTATACATATGCATGAAAACACACCCACCTCCCTACCTCTTGCATCATCCAGTTTCTCCACTCTTCCCCAACAGGTTGCCCAAAAAAAGCATTGTGTAAGTGGTGAGAGCAAAATAATTGGGCAATGTGAATGACCAGAAAGCAGAAGAGAGCAAATTCTGATGTCAAACCTTGTGGATAGTCTTTTTCCTGATAACAGGGAACTCATTTTATGTGAGCATCACCACTCCAAGAATATAGTTTTCCCTTTAACGAAGAATAAGTAGTAAGAGCACTTAAGGGAATTGTCAGATAGGAGAATTATAGAGGAGACTAAATGGAAGAAAAAGATTTTTTAATGCTCTTCTCCATATTCCACTTCTTTCACATTTTCTTTAAGACTCATGGGTTACTAATAGGACCTTTTCATCTAATGCATATATTTTTCTTCACTGGTTTACAAAGAATTTCTTTTGTTTTTTAAAAACATCCAAACCCAGCTCTTACCACATACACATAAAAAATCAGGTTCAGTATTCTAAATCCTATAACTTCTAACTTCCCTTTGGCCTTTACCACAAAATCATAAGTTTGTCTTTATCTCTCACCTATCTTCCATCTTTTCATTCTTGTCTTTCTTATCCCTGATATCTTGATATGGTTTATGTATACACTTTCAGTTTTCTTTTTTTCTTTTTTTAAATATATATTTTATTGATTTTTTACAGAGAGGAAGGGAGAGAGATAGAGAGTTAGAAACATCGATGGGAGAGAAACATCGATCAGCCGCTTCCTGCACATCTCCTACTGGGGATGTGCCCGCAACCCAGGTACATGCCCTTGACCGGAATCGAACCTGGGACCTTTCAGTCCACAGGCCGACGCTCTATCCACTGAGCCAAACCGGTTTCGGCAACTTTCAGTTTTCTTGACCTCCATTCTACAATTTACTTCTATCAGACAAGTCACTCCTATTGAAATTCTTTCATCTTTGCAGCTTATCATACTTATTAACGAGTTCCTCGCTGCTGATCAATCTATTTCTGTAGAACAGATATTGTACTTTCTATCGTCCTCATAATTAATTTAAATATTAATAATTAGTCACCGAATGGTTGCTACAAGAAAGGCTTATCTTCAGTGACTTTGGAAAACCTTTTAAAATATATTAATATTTTAAAACTTTGTACTGTCTTTGCAATTTGTCTTTAAATCTAAAACTTTTCTAAAAAGTAAAAGTTTTTTTAAAAATAATATATATACATATATATGTGCATATATATATATATATATATATATATATATATATATTACTAAGACCCTTACATTCACAAGTCTTTCAAATTTTCTCCACTTGTTTAAGTGTCTTAGTTGATGGAATGAAAATGTGGAAGGCAGAAAGAAAAAATACCTTTCTCTGAGGACACAGGTATCTTGGTGATGCCTCTGGAGCTGAACTGTAACTGCGTATATCCATCTTCATCCAAATTTTCTAGCTCAGATCCGTATGCCATTGTTCCCTGGAGTTCCTCAATTGACACAATATTTGAGAGCTCTTCCCTCTCTTCTAAGACAATTGTCTGTGGACCAAAGAGGATCTATGAGGCAAGTCATGTGAGATATGCATTTAATGAGCTTTAACAAGTTGAGCTTAAGTAAGTAGTCCAACCAGTTATGCAAAAGCAGGAAATGAAAACTATGTTGTAAGTTCCCATTTATATCTTTAGATCCTGTTTCTGAGACTGATGCCTTAAAAAAATTATAAGGCAGCACCATAGACAGGTGTTTATTTCAGACCAAAAATAAGAAGCATAAAAAGATTAATATCTTATGCTGTTTTCATTACAGTCACAAATAAATTTTGCATCACCAATTGGCTTGGCCTATGTAAACTATCAAACAATTTTGGTACCGTAATTTTATCATTACTTTGTTTTACTATACATTCATTCATTTATTCATGTACTCACTCATTCACTAAGCATATATTGAATGCCCATCTTTTGAAATGGCAGGAGCTTGAATACAAGGATAAATGAAGAAACTCATTCTCTCATAGTGGAAACCTACAGATAGGTATATGAAGGATGCTATAAAAAGGTACATTGTTATAACAACAGAGACTAAACAAATTTCTTTGGGATTTGCCAGGGATTGATAATACAAAGTAATAATTATTTATTGAACAATTACTATAAGCTAAGTACTAGCCAGTGAGCATGTTTTCTCATTCAACCTTAATTTTCCAACAAGACCATGTGATAGGTATTATTTTTCCTATTTTTAAATGAAAAAGTTAAGACACAGTAATTTTACTCCCTTGCTCAGTTTTAAGAAGCTAGTAAAAATATTGAAGCAAGGAATCATCAAACTAATATCTACTCTTGCTGGAAAATGTATGATCTTTTTTGTTTTGCTACACTGCTTCATTCACCATTTCATACACTTATATTGCTAGTAACATTATAGAGAATTCTGGGACTGAAATATTATGCTAAATGTTTGATTTTTTTTTCCTGTATTCCAAGTGCCATAGTAATGCCCCCCCCCCCCAAATACTTATCATTGCTGGAAACTAGAGATCTACTCAACCCATTTACAAGACTTTGAAGCAAGTAGAATGAAGGAGGAATGTAACATTGAAGCAATGAGGACAGATTTCCTTCAGTAATCTTTCTTTCCTACTGAAAGAAATAGAGAAGAGGACCAGCTTGGATTGCATGCAACTTCCCCAAAACAAAAGGCTAGAGACTTTTTAAAGGCTGGAGTGTGCTAAGGAAAAGTTGCTGAGTGGCATTAAGGGGAGTTAATCCATGTGACTAGATCATGTGGATTTGTTGCTTATCCAGAAGAGAAAGAAATGTCTGTCCTTATGACAGGAAGCAACGGTACCTGTTGAAGCTGAGTGGTGCTTCCTCTGAAGTTACACACTCTTATCCTCCCTTCCACAGGGACTGGGAGAGTAAGCATTATCTCCCTAACTGCCTGAATGTTTGCATTCAAGGAGATGTCTCTAAGGTCCTTGAAGTAAGTTTGGGGTGGTGTATTTTACACCTTAAAGGGCAGGTAAATAATTTATAATGTGCACTAGAGGGGGTCCCTCAGCCCGGCCTGCACCCTCTCACAGTCTGGGAGCCCTTGGGGGATGTCCGCCTGCTGGCTTAGGCCAACTCCCCATGAGTCCAGCTTCTGGCTGAGCAGCTCTCCCCCTGTGGGAGCACACTGACCACCAGGGGGCAGCTCCTGCATTGAGCATCTGCCCCCTAGTGGTCAGTGCATATCATAGCCACTGGTCATTCCGGTTGTTCTGCCATAACAGTTGCTTAGGCTTTTATTATATAGACTAGAGGCCCAGTGCACAAAATTTATGCACGTGTAGGGTTCCTAGGCCTAGCCGGCAATCAGGGCCTATCTGTGGGGTGACCAGGAGGGCAATCAGGGGGTCCCTGCTGGCACCTGCCTTGGCCGGCCTGGCACTGCCTGCTCACCAACCATCCCTGTCCCCTGCTACCGCCCTCTCGCTAGCTGGCCCTGCCCCTCCCACCGCCACTGGTCGATTCCCTTTGAGGGGCGACCAACAGGGCGATCAGGGGGCCTGCCTTGACTGGCCTATTGATTTCAGAGAGGGAAAGGGAGAGAGTGATGGAAACATCAATGATGATAGACAGCCATTGATTGGCTGCCTCCTGCCCACCCCACACCCGGTGTAGCATAATGGTTATGTTATTGTCATGATTAACTAGTAATTAATATTAATAATAGGAAGAAAGAAAGTGAGAGGTCAGACATTATAGGCATGGTCATCTGGGCAGTGTCACCAGAAAGCTACAGTTTCACACTCCCCAGAAAACCACCTGTCCATTTCCCGCAGGTCACTAGGGGAATGGATCCAACAAAAGGGGAGATGGGCTTATGCACAGTGAAGTTTGGATGACATAAGGAGGGTGCTTGCTTGTCAGTCTAACCTGGGAAAAAGATAATTTTGGCTATGGGTGGTGAAGCCACTGCAAGCACATGAAATCTTGAAGGGTTAATGGATTAAGCTCCTTGTTATAAGCCCCAATGAGCACCTTCTCTGTTGCCCTTCTTACTCTTCTTGTTCTGCTCTTGTGCTCTGACACTCTTGCTCTGTGACCCACACTCGCCACATGCACTTGCCTGTTCTCTCTCCATAGCCATGTAATCTTAAGCAACCCCATGGCCCAGGGCCATGCAGACTCTACATGTAGGATGCTGGACTGGACTGTGCTTTAATATGGAGTGAAGACTCTGGAAAGTGGTCTTAATTCTTGCCCTACTGAAGACAAGATTGGACTTCTTCCATGGCAGGACATAGGAAAATGCAACATTGGAAACCCAGTGGTTTAATTCCATGGAAATAAGGATCACTCATCCTCCCAAATGAGTCTCAGGAAATTCCTTTCCTTGCCACATCACAAGAACTCCATGTCCATCGGTAATAGATGAGGACACAGATTGCACCCACTGATAACAATTAGACAATCATATACTTTATACAATGTTCTCCCTGTTATTTCCAGTAACCACATGGCATCGCACATAGTTATTACCATATTACTGACTATATTTTCTATGCTGTACTTTAGCAAGTTGTCCTTCCATTGCCTTTGGAAAGCAAGGAGTAGACTAAGAATGGTTGGTGTTATTTTGAAGTGGGAAGTTTTTTGTATGTGTATTTGTTTGTTTTAAGTCACATGTGATATTATCCCTCTTTTTTCCATCCATAATGGCCCTTCCTTCTTCTTTGCATTTTGTCACTAAATAGGTATCCAGGCTTTGGTTAATTGAATATATTTGCTATATTTCTTTTTGTCCTGTGACCTTTAACTCAAAATCATCTCTAATAGGAAGAAAAATATAGCAAAACTTGATGCAAGATAGGCCAAACAGAAAAGTCTGTAGATTTCCCAGTATTGATATGACTAGAGCATCTCTGATTTTTCTTGTTTTATATTTGGGAATTTCATAAATAATTTTATCTAGAAAATAAAGCAATTAAACCCACAAAATATTTGGAAGGAATTCACCTGGTATATTCCATTCATTTTTTAAAGGGGAGTGGGGCACAAGATAGGACCATTTAATTGCATAAGGGAAAAAATATCTGTTATTGGCAGAATTTCTAAATTCAGAGTCCATGTTCTAGCGAATAAATGCATCATGTTGCTTTGTTCTTGTCACTGAGTGACTTTAGATGTGCTGTTTAATTTTCTCTACTGGTTTCCTCACCAGTAAAATAATGATGGGTCTTAAATCTCTTTGGGGATATTTGTATGGTGAGTAAGAAAGGAGCAAGATAACTAAAAGATGAAAATAGATTTCCTGTGGTGTGTGATCTAAGTCAGTATGAATTAATTAAAAAAGAGTTATCAAAACCAGGCAGGAGGGAATGACATGGTGGTGCCATCTGCTGCTTTGTATTAGAAATTTCGAGGCAAGTTAGAGGAAGCTGATAACAGATCAGCTTCCTCTAAAAGGCTTTATTCTTTCTGCTCTCTGTTCTTCAAGTTTCCCTTTGATTGGTTTCATATAATCTCTGATGTACTTCTTGTAGGCTTCTTTTGTGAAGCTGGTTTCCTGCAGATGATGGCTCATGACAATATCAACACCAGCTATTACTGTGCTTTCGGTACCTTAGCCCTCAGGGGCTTCAGCAAAGGCATTTCCACCAATAAGCGAGTCATCAATGTTACCCTCTGTCCTACTGACCATCTTCCTCTCTACCTCCAGGCACAGCCCGTCTGTGATTTCCCGGATCTTGTAGATATCGGAGAACATCTCCTCATGGCTGATGAGGTCCCCAAAATGATCATAATGACAGTTTTGCTTCCTTCTTTCCAATTTGGATGCCTTTTATCTCTTCTTGTCTGATTGCTGTGGCTAGGACTTGCTGTGGCACTCGGAGGGAGGGGAGAGCAGGTGGGAAAGCTCTTTATTTTATTTTTAGTTTCTGCCACCATATCATAAGTTCCAGAGGGCAGGGAACTTGTCACTACTAATTCCCAGCATTTAGAGAAGCACTTGCATGTATTAAATGAACGAATAAACTAGTATATATGTAGCTAATTTAATTTAATTGTTCATTGTCTTCCTCCACACTAGACTGTAAGTACCTTGTTAGCACTAAAGAAAGAAGACATGTGTACTAATGTCCTAGACCTTCACACTCACTCACCACTCACTCACTGACCCATTCAGAGCAATTTCCACTCTTGTGAGCTTCATTCATGGTACGTGCCCTATACAAGTGTACCTTTTTATTTTCATTTTTTAGACCATACTTTTACCATAACTTTCCTAAGTTTAGGTATGTTTAGATACACAAGTGCTTAACATCCTATACAATAAAAGGCTAATATGCAAATTGACTAAACAGCAGAATGAGCGGTTGCTATGATGTGCACTGACCACCAGGGGGTAAGCCACTTAGCCAGAAGCCAGGCTCACAGCTGGCGAGCGCAGTGGCAGTGGCGGGAGCCTCTCCCACCTCTGTGATAGAGAGTTGTTAAATGAATAAATAAAATTTTTAAAAAGTAAGAAAAATGTCTAATGCACATCTGTTTGTCAAATGTTTCATCTGAGAAATGTTTCAT